TCATTTACCTCTCTCAAGGTATAATGATGTCTAGATATGTGCCACAATCGTCCGCATATGCATTACGAACTTTCAGGAAAACACCCATATTTGAGTTTTTAGTTTGCTTCGCTCAGTGCTTACTATTTTTGATGCTATAACTTTTTTGTTGCCTGCATGGTTTCTATGGCTTTACATCGAATTTGACATTCTTCGATAGGGAAATTTCGCCCTACAGAAATTGTTGAGCTCTTTCTGCATTTGCAAAAATGTACCGTCATGTATTTTAGGATAACCAGCAGGTGCTTCAAAGTACACAATCACAATCTATAAATGGCTCGAGTGTTCAGGAGAGTCTGCTACGTACAAAATGTTCTTCATCATTACAGCAGTAGCTCTCCTAATACCATATGTCACCGTGCAGAATCACAATCTATAAATGGCTCGAGTGTTCAGGAGAGTCTGCTACGTACAAAATGTTCTTCATCATTACAGCAGTAGCTCTCCTAATACCATATGTCACCGTGCAGGGTGAGCACAGTTTTTGGCAGCTCAAGCGCAGCCTTTCGTGCTGAAGGTTGTCTTGGTCTTTTCGCTTGGAACTCCTAAAGTCTTCTATGAGGCACATTTTCAGGATCTCACTCAACCCTCTCTCAATCTGGGATTGAGGGACTCAAGAAGCTCAGTACGAAGTACAATAGTAACCTCGTAAGTGTTTTATCTGTCCAACTGTAAAACAATATTTCTGCACCGTGGGCATTCCGAATGATACTCAGAACTGGAACGAAGATCTAGCGAAGAAAGCATCCGAATGGATGACGAAAAAAGCTCCTGTGAAGGCTGGCGTGACGTACAGAGGAAAACGGTTAGCTCACTTTCAGTTTTTCCGTTTTACATGGGAACATCTTCTATTTAGATGCATCCCGAAGACGGAGGATAAAGAGCCGGCTACCGACATGATAATTTCAACTTTCGCGGAATCCTTCGAAAAAGAAGGGAAGAAAGTGAGTTCGGGCAACTGACAGTATAAGTTGGCCTATCACACCGGTCACCGCATTGTGAGATGAGAAGATTTCGAGGGAGGTTGGCTAATTGGATCTATTGCTTACCACCCTAGCATGGAATTTTCTTGTCCCTTAATGGCTGGTGGTTCCAAGCCTACACTCTTCATCTCTTATACATCCTTCCATATGTTATACACGTATGCTTCTTACATATATTCCATATTCCTAATAAACGGAATCGTAGGTCTCCTTCAAACCACTATCTTCTTCGCTAAACAGTGCTTAGGTTAAACATGAGTGCGATGGGGTCGAATAAGTGAAGTGCTTCAGTTGTACTCGCCCGTCAAATTCACTCCCCTCCTATCTGGCACTCTAGAATTTGCTCTAGCAAAACCCTATTCTGATTGGTTGTACCCTTTTTCAGAAAAAGATCAATATATGAAGTATATTTAGATTGCTGCTGTGGGCGGAGGACTCTATGGATGCAGCGGCTTCGTCGACAGAAGGGGCAAGAAGAGAAGCTGCATCTACGTCGGTTGCCTCTTCAGCAAATTGGCAGATCGACGCTTCATATGAATATAGTAATAAATCTGCACATTGGAAGTTGTTCTATTAAAACTATTGGCCTCGTATAATCAAAACCTTCTCGGACAAAAGAGAAGCAGTGGGCTTAGACCGCTGCTCACGCCAGAGATTTCTTTGGATTTCTGCCTGAGTAGGCCGTTTTTACAGTGCTGAGTAGGCTGCAAAAACAGAACCCACTTTCAGAAATTTGAGAAAAGCAAGAGTGTGCTGATGGGAAACTTCGAGACTATACCAAGTCTCTAGTTATAAGGTAATCCTTCAGTAACGAAGGAAGCGACTTTTTGATAACTCTCAGAAAGAAGTTGAGTGGCCCTATTACACTGATAATCCTGTACCGTCTCATGAACACATTTCTACCTTCGAGAAATACTGAAGGATTTTTGAAGGCAGGTCTCTAATCGAAAAATGTATTCATGGAAGTATGCCTCACAAGTTGTTATGATCCTTTGAGCTCTAGAGGAGGCGATTCCGCCGAAACGTCAGCCTAACAAGGCTTGTATGCAAAACTCACGAAAATTTGAAGAGCGGCTCACTATTTCAGCAGTCATGCATATGTTTCAGATGAAATACACAACTTAGTGAAGGCGCACCAAGCTTTTCCGCGTAATCAGTTATTGTACGGTGTGTTACGCATTTGATTTCCCTTTCCAAGCAACCTTACGATCATACAGCCAGTTCAGTGGGAGAGCAGGGGTGAGAATCAGTCTCTCCCCCAAGAACAAGAGGAATTTCTTTGAATGAAGCGAAGAGAAGAAAGCTGTGAGAGGGAAGAAAGCTTGGGTGAGTTCAGATTGAGCCTGTCTTTTCATTTCACTTCATGAACAGAGGAATTAGTGCCACAAGAAATTGGCTATAACCAGGACAGATGTAGCTGTAACAATGTGAAAGGAAAGCAGCATTTGACCAAGCTCTATGTTGGTCTTCTACTTAAAACGATTCCTCTCGCAAGCCATTTTTGCTCAAAGAACTGAAGAGAAAGCTGTAAAGTTCAGGAAACTAAGCCTCAAGATCTTTAACTACTGAGACCGTTTCTCTTCTCTCGATGGCCAGACAGCATCGATGAAGAATACAGCATCCTTGTCAACCATTAGTCTCTCGAAACGCCTAGAAACGTCTCTCTTCGAAGACTCCCGAACTGATACGCCAGCGCAGAATCGCGCGAGCTGCAAACAATAACCAGCTCACGTCCGTACTTGCGAAACTGCAAGAAGTAGAGAAGGTATAAAGAAAGATCTGAAAGAGAGGAGAGGAGCAGTTTTGGCTGAAGCCGCTGAGGCTGGAAAGAGCATTCGCAAAGCGCGCCGGAGCTTCGTCTGACCAAGATAAGGCCAAGATGACTTCTCTTCGTAGTCCCGACAGAACAGTTACTGCAGGGCAACGTAGAAGGTCACCTACGACTTCTACTGGATCTTTTCGACAGCCATGTCAACCTGCCTACATACTATATAGGCGAGACGAATATATCGCTTCTTCGATTCTCCCTTCCGAAATTCGACATGCCATCACGTCGATGAAGAATTGTATCGCGCCCGGTTCCGATAGGATCAACCAGAACATCTAAAGGGTCTGTCACCAGTTGTCGTCAGAACTCTGGCTAGGCTCTTCGCGCGGTACTGTCGGAATGCAAAGTGTTCACGTCGTGAAAAACTAGCAAGGCTGTGTTGCTGTGTAATAAGGGAGATCCCGATTATAATGGCAACTATGGTCCAATCTGCCTGCTGTTTGCAATCTACAGACTTTTCATACCCGCCATCCCCAACGAGGTGAAGGACAGCCATGCCAGCAAGCAAAGGGTTCAGTACATTCTATCACATCCTCTTACAAGATTGACTGAGCTTTCTTCGAGAACACAATATGCCGTTATGTCTGACGTAATCAATTTGAAGAAGGACATTGGTAGACTCGATACAGAAGCGGTAATTGAAGACCAGGGTGTACCTACTCATAAGAATGCTTCGGGAGTTCTACGTAAACTTCACGACCAAGACTTCGCCATTCTATAGGGAAGTCATTATCAACGTAAAGAGAGGGGTTGGGCAGGGCGATACCATCCCGCCCAAACTTTTCACTACCGCTATCGATAATGGCATCATGCGTCATTTGGAATAGGAATATTTGGGAGTGAAGCTCGACGGCTGCTACTTACATCACCTCCGCTTTGCGGACGACACCTGCTTATAACATTGAGCATCGAGCAGGCGGAGCGAATACTGGCATAATTCAACAGCGCTCTGCGCTCACCTTTTCGACACTGCTGTCCTTCCTGCTTTCACGTACGCCTCGGAGGCTTGGACTCAACGAAAGCACTATCAACATGCAGCACTATCAAGGATACGATATGGTGACCGTTGCACCTTGGCGGTTACTGACTGGATCCTTCTATAACAGAAAGGCCGCCAGCCCGCTGCCAGACTTCTTCACGGAAGCTCTTAACGAAAGAAATACTATGCCTCGGGTCGCTCGAGTGAGGGCGACCAACTGGACCAGTCTGACTGGCGACAGGGACGAATGGAGACTTCACACCCATTTGAGGAAATCGATAACTGTCGGCACGACACGTGTTATAGGTGATTATGGATACTTAGACATAATGAGACGGGACTATTTCACTATGAAGAAGCTCAAAGTAACTCGACAAGAAAAACTGCTTCACGCAAACTCCGTAAGCGGGAGCGCGGATGCTGACGCGACCTACGTGCCCCGAGCGCCGCCAGTTGAGGCAGAAGCGTCGGGCGTCGGCGCGTTACGCTAGGCGCTTTTGCGTCAAGAGCGCTCGAGGCTGTACTCTGAGAGCGCCCCTACCTCAGATTAGACTTTACTCAGATTCATCTACAGTAGTGGGCTACTCTCGAAGACAAAAAATTTTGAATAAACTCCACTCACCAGAATTTCTAAAAACCCACTATGTTGGAAGAGACTGTTGAAATTTTAGTGCTCTCCTGTGTTACCTTACCACGACGGACCAAGATGATGAGCTCTTCCAATGATGACCGTTTGCATTGTCAGCGTACATTAAACATGTGAATAATAAAAGGCAAAAGGTAGACGCTATCGCTCCGAGCGAACAAATTACTGCGCCTACTACGACTTCACATTGAAAAAATCCGCAAAGGAGGCGCAGTTCAAATTAGGACAAGAAAACATCAATAACAAAGTCCTGAGAGAATTCTAGCCTGGAAGAGCTGTTCCGTGCTTCCCGCGTGTAAGCACGATAAAAGGTAAAGGGAAGGGTAAAAGGTTCAACTACTGATCGTGAAACGATCTGAATGCGATTGGTTATTCCTTTACATATAAACCGGCCGCAAATAAAAAAGGCAAAGACAACTTTCAGTAGACAGAAGATGCCTAAACAACGACAAAGACTTTTGAGCTGTAGCTACGTAGATAGGATTAGTGCTCGGAGGTTTGATTTGTTATCCACAATGAACTAGTGATGAGCTATCTCGCTCTACAAAGGAAAAGTTCACTTGGAAAACTCGTCCAGTCTACACATTGAGACCTTGTTGCACGTTCTTGGAAAGAGGGCGCAGACGAGGAGACGGAATGTGAATTGCATCTTCTGGTCTCCCACCTGTGCTCTTCTGAGCGGGGGACGGAACCTACGTGCGTCCGAGACAATGCACTTCGGCGCGAGCATGGTAATGGTACAGTCACAATATCAAATCATCATTATAACAACGAGCAATAAACCAAGAGCGGAAAAACACGGCGATTAAAACTGCGGGCAAGAGCAAGAAAGTGAAGTAGGTCCTGGCACGATCATACACCTACCAGGTTACTGATGGTTAAAGGAAAGTAGCCGTTTAATTCAGTCCTTTTGCTTGTGGGGAAAGTAGTATGAAGTCGAGCATTCTAATGAAAAGCTCGCAAACAGGAACCACCACGTTGTGGATTTAGCGTGGCATAGAACGTTCGAGGAGGGCCTGGGAGCAGATCGATGATCGTGCACACCGAGTCAGACGACGACGGATGTCAAGGAAGGGCGAATGTCTTCCATCAGTCAATTATCACAGTACATATTCAGTAATTAACCAACTAATGTCGCTACTGTACTCAAACCGGGAACGTTAGGATGGGGTGTCCCAACGAAATTGTTGCGTGCGGAAAGAGGGACGTCGCGCGCGAATGAATATAGCAGAGTGCAGCAGCAGGTAAGAAATACAGGCACAAAGGAACCAATAGTGGAATCATGCCTAAAATAAAGATCGCATATCGATTGAGCTGTTGAAGAACGCTAGAGCTGTGATAACGGCGAAAGAATGGTCCGCGACAGCCGCGTGCGGCGAATCGATTACTGAAAACCGTTCCTACTGCCCGTCTCCCCTTAGGTCACATAATAGCTAGCAAACAAAGATTGCAGCTCACAGAACCCTCTTGAGAGACTTCCTTCATTAAGCTAGTTTAGATCAGTACTGCGGGACATCTAGCAAAGATTCTCTTACCATCAACTCGAATGCAACTGGATAGGAGCCAAAAGACTCAAGCGGTATACTTCATGGTCAGTGGCCAAAGTCCCTGCGTACTTTAAAGAACAACGAGAAGGTGAAAGGTTGTTGAAGTGCGCCATTTATACTTTGCTAGTGATATGTTCGCAGCTGTTCGACACCACGAGACAGCTAACAAATATTCGCCCCCACTCGCACGAGTAATCTTGAGCTCTTACAAGATCCTAGCAGAACTAGTAGCTAATACAAGAACGAGTGGCAACTTCTATCAAGAACCAAAGGACTCTCCGTAAGTACTTCCTCATCAAATTTGTTCAAAAACCCCGTACCTTGCTACCTTCCATATTGTACCTTTTCCCACACACATCGTGACGTTGTTATGAAAAGCAGTGATCAAAACAAACAGTAGAAGAAAGCTTTATTTAAATATTATTCACAAGCCCATTTTAAATAATAAATATTTACAAGCCTATCATTTGGAAAAGGAGTGAGCAAACTGATCCCCGAACTTCTTCTGCAACCTAGCTTTACGGGCTGCATCAAGAGCAGCTGAGACACGTTTGATTGTCCGAGGGTTGAGAAGTTTTTTCTGAAACATCGCCATTTCGCCATTTGTTTCAATGGGTGTTACGATAACGCAATGATGAAAACTGACCTCCAGCCGCTCACGTACAGTACTTTCTCGCACCTTCTTCTTCTTAGGTTTACTGACAAACGATTTCCCAGTTGCAGCTTCCAGATCCCTGAATGTGTTTTGATTGACCTTTGGTGTGCACGCATTGTACATTTCTATTAGTTCCAAATGTAATCCCCTCATAAAAAAGCCATTTCTCAAAAGTTGTCGAAATCAGTGCGTACCTCAAATATTCTTCTTCTTCTTGATGTTCACGATCAGCTTGTGAAGAAGACATTTCGGTTGTATCCAATTCTTCCAGAGGGAAACCTTCGTCATCTCTATCTACTATTATGCCGTGAAGTGGGCACCTAAAAGAAAAAGTTGTGAAAACTTATCCCCCAAACCAGTTAAAAGCCACTCACTTTCGCAAGTCCATTCTTGGGCAAAGCTTCCCATTTGGCAGCCTCGCCTTGCAACGCCTCTCAGCTCGTTGTGGTTCTCCTATCCATGTTATCAACCGGACCTCTCCCACATTCGACCCCTTTTCGTTTAATGCAGGCCTGAACAGTAAAATGTTCTGCAAACATATCGGTAGACTAGAGCAAAACGTTGAAATACCGATCGTCATCCTCTGGTGCTCTCCAAAACGGATGACAATCTGCGTTGTTACGAAGGATGGTGGGCTCAATGTAAGCCTCTCCCCAGTATTTTAAGTCGAGCCCGAACGAAACAACAGGAATATCAGGCTTTGGCTTGACCTCATCCTAAAACGAGCTTCATCACACGCTCCCTCAGCATAGCCATGCTTATCATCGAATGTTTTTCAAACATTTCGTTCCTTGTGTTAAGGCAGCATCATGAATCGTTCAGAAAATTCAAATAAACAGTCTATACCTCTTTCGGTGCTGTCACTGATGAAGTTGTCACCAGCGATTTACTGCAACATGGCTGCTCGGAACATTTCCCATTTTCCAGCTGTTGTACTCGCTCCATGATATGTCGCGGAACTTCATCGGGTGGCATAAAGTCCTCCACTAAAAAAAGGTTAAGATCAGAAACTTCCACTACTGCAGCAAGTAAAATTATCCTTACACTGCTTTTCAGGTACTTCTTCGAGGTCGCTTTCCTCACTTTCACTAGAATCAGCGCCTTTCCGTTTCCGCCTCTTTGGCTTAAGGTTCAATTCAGCAATCTTCCCACATCGCTGTTCGATCTTTCCGTTTATTGCCGTCAGATCTCGCATTAGAAGTTCTACGCCAACGGCGCCATTTAATTTACGCTGCCAACTAAAATAAGGTAGCGAGTAGGGGATAGTGCTTTTTGGCAAGAGAATATAAGTGCACCTAAAAATCTTTTTTCGATAGACGTCTAGCATTACTTTTGCATCCCGTAGGTTTTCTATTAGTGCCTCGTTGTCCTCATTGACCGTGACTTCTGGCGTGAGCGATGGCAAAACAACCGAAATTGTTTCAGAACTTGTGTATCCGTGAACCGTCTGAAAAAGCACTTGTGGAAGTGCCTGAGTTGAGCGAAATGCTCTCAGAGCTCGCATATGAAAAGCACAAGCATGTGCACGACATCGAGCAGAACAAAATCAGCGTACAATCAAAAAATCCCTCGTATGTCCAGCTGAAAAATGGACCTCGAGGAAATGATTTTTAGAGAAACTCTAGAGTGCTTTTCTGGTAAATAAATAATAGGAGTAAGAAATTGAAAACGTTTCTTGTTGTTGAAGCAGGTAGTAAGAGAAAAAGAAACAAGTTCACTGCAATCTTTCTCCAACGACTATCTGAAGAGGCATAGCAGGAAATATAATGGAACATTTCCTGTCGTATACCTTTTTAACCAAGAGCTTGAGAAAAGCTATTACGTGGAGCAACTGATTGATTCAAATAGACTAACATTTTGAAGCCACTCAACTACTTTAAGGCCTAAACAAACCTTTTTAAGATAAGGACCTGAATCAGTGTCATTTCAACCTACTGAAAATACAGAAATATCAACAGCATAAACATTAAAATAATATCGAGGCTACAGCAAGAAAGATCGCTTGCAATTACCTGCATTTCTTGAATTTGATCGTTGTCTCGACAAGAGGCAGCATCACGGTTCTTGGCTTCATTTTCCTCAGAATCGACACAAAAAAGAGGAACAAGAATAGAGAGGGCCGTGTCAGCCGAGGCAATACATCTTTCTATATCATCTTTGACTTGGTCGAATTTCCGACGAACACTGGCGGCGATCTAAATGGAATAAATTCAAAAAGTTTATTCAAAATTGTAATGTGTTCCTTAAAGAAGAGTGTAAAGCTAGAAACAAGAACAAACACATTTATAACACCAAATAAGCAAAATAGCTCATGATCGAGGGGCTTGAATTTGTAGGAGGCAAAAAAATTGCATAATAGAATGAATTGCGACCAAACGATGCATATGTTAGTGGTGAGCTGATGATCAGCCGACCTCGATGGAATTGGGTCTAGTAGTCCTGGCCGCATCAACTGCCATTCAAACATATAGCAAGATACGTTCTGAATTCCAGTAACAAAAAGAATTTGTCGGTGAAAATGCTCGGATGGCGTTGAACTCACAATTAATAGAGCGAAAAATGTTCTCTGGACAGTAATAACTCCCTACCTTCTGAGACAACTCTGCGCTTCTCCGATTTTCTGCTTCCTTTCTCATTCTTTCAGCCAGTAGTTCCGCAGATGCAGAATCGAAATCAATAGCCTAGGATAATCTTGATGATCTACGCTGTGGCATATTATATCAACAATGACCAAACGGCATTATGCTACCTTAGATTCTCGCAAAAAATCGCCAACGAAATTCAATTTCACGTAACCGGGACCAAACTTCTCATGCCATTGTTTGACCGTTTTCAAAGCGTAGGCCTGGAAAGGGCGTATTTAACATAAGTAACAAAATGATATTCCCGAACCTTCAATTCTTTGCATTCCGTAGTTGGTCCAGGGAGAGGATGATGCAATGGATCCGTTTCACACACCAGTAGAAGTAACTCCTGCAAAGAAGTGTACATAATCACGAACACGAGGTTCGGGTTTTTCAATGACAAACCTGCAACTTGTCCACGGTTCTCAGGCGAAAATTATGAGAACGATTGAAAAAATAATCGAATACTGACATCAAGGATTGTCTCCGTTCCGAGTCAGAGCGCTGGAAAGGATTTCATTCGGAATGTGAGGTTTCCAACAGGATCTGTCACAAAAATTTCCTGCTGCCTATCAGAAAACATTAGAGAACATCTGCATAATAGCTAGACTGGGCTGTTACTATGCAATGTACACACCTTTTTACCTTACAAAAGCGTTGACAGTTGAAATTTTAATTTCTTACCGAGAAAAAAGAAAAAAGAAAAAGAAAGAAAAAAGAAAAAAGTAAAAAAAATAATAATAAAAAATATCAAAAGAAAAAATATTCTTCATTTCTGCTAAAAAGACTTCAGTTCGTGTACCTTCGAGTTCTGCATTCTTCATGTGAGCCAAGTAACCCGCAAGGTTTGCTTTTCTAGTGTAATAAGTCACAAGACGTCAAAGAAGATCATTCAGAAGGAGTCAAATTATGCGACCAATGAAACTTCTCACCGAGGAATTCTGAGCACAAACCAGGCCGTTTTCTCAAAACAGAATAAGAACTATTTTCGGACAATCGCTGGTATCCACTCTTAATTCCCTTTGCACTCGACATCGGCATTCGATCCTTTTGATTCCAAAAGTAGAGAAAACCCTTTTCTCGATTAGCCAAGTATCGACGCCGCCTTAGAGCATTCGAACCCTCCGCCACACTCATCCTATCGGCGATCAGATGAAGTAGCTTGTACCGTTATCGCTGCCCACGAATCGAAAGTAATAACGGCGCAATTTAAGATAAAAGGAACTAGAAAAGCGAACCTTCAAAGACACAAAAAGGTACTCGACATATTCAGCTATAGCGTTCTCATTCTCACGGACCACTTTCTTCAGTTTCTTAAATTCCTGAGAATCCGTAGAAACAGCTTTCTTTGAATTACTAACGGCCTGAAACCGTATCATCATGTATACAAAATGAAAATTATGTGAAATATTACCTAAAATTCAGATAATGTGTATTACACTTACCTCGTTCACCAGCTTATTGGTGATGATACGCAAAATTCTTGACGAGTCATCCATCATCCAAAGGTGCAATCTTCATTTCGGCTGCAAAATAGCTGGACTAAGAAAACCTGATTAAATTTTAAACAAGCCGCGTAAAATCAGTAAGTTATTACGAATAGGATATAAAGTGGGAACCATATAAGTTAAAAACGTTACAAATTGTCTAAGAAGCTTCCAAGTGTAAAAACAGAAGAAATGAGTTTCGAAATGGTTACGTTTTGTAGGCTATAACTCAATAGTGGTAGAAAGTGGCTCGTTTTGTAGCCATTTAAATCGCCGAAATGTAAAGGAAAATGTCTCTGGTGAGAACTTTGTTAGATACTTCACCACCCAATTTATCTCATTTCCATTTGCCAGTAACCACAGAATAGTTAACGGGGCATACGCTGGCCAAGTTCACTAGTATCGCTTATCTTCGGTTTCAGATAATTCCTTGCAAAATGGTGTGAAAGACGGAAAATTTGTACTTGAGACCGATCGCTGTTCGTTACGAATATCGTCTATTCTCGCGTTCGCGTCGCATACGCGGTGCTGACCGCGGTGCCGCGAACTAATAACCTTGAAATGGTTACCGACAATTATTAGGTCGTGAAGAAAGTTCTTGCGGTTTTTGACGCCCAATTTTCAAATGCTCGCCGCGATGTTATTTGCTGTTAGATTTTTTGCAAGTTTTATACCATTCTGAAGCGCATTTCTTGGCCTATCCAAATATATAATCGGTTTTTCCCTGGAATGATTCCTGGGGTTTATTAGAAGGTCGAAATCAGCATGGACAAACGACAGATCCGCATGATTTTTCTTTTCCAATCCAAATTGGGCAGGAGTGCGACGGAAACGGACCGGGATATCAACGATGACTTAGATCTAGGTACGATGAATCAACGCACAGCACAGTGGTGGTTTGAAAAATTTCGTACCGGTGATGAGAGCCTGGAAGATGATGAGCGCAGTGGGCGGCCATCGGCCGTTGGCAACGAACAATTGAGAGCGTTAGTGGAAGAGAATCCACGTACAACGCTGAAGGATATTGGCTCAAGATTGAGTGTTTCCAGCAGGACGGTTGGCATCTACATGCAGGAGATCGGGAAGTAGAAGAAGCTCGATAAGTGGGTGCCGCATGAGTTGACACCAGAAAGACCGCCGCTACGAGCTCGCCTCCGCCTTGCTTCTGCGCAACAGGAACAATCCATTTCTAGACCGTATTGTGACGTGTGATGGGAAAAGGATTCTGTAC